GTTCGAATCTCGCAGGGGGCGAGGTCGTGGATGCGCACTGCTGAGGAGTCCCATAATAGGACGAAACGGCCGTCCAGTGCTTCCAGGTTTTCCATGGTGGTCTAGCTTCAACTGACTCATGATCTTAATCATTGGTATTCCGTACATAACCATTTGCACCATTTGTGAGTCGATCGCGCTTTTTTGAAGTGCTCCGCTTCTGGTCGTCGCCTGCGGTACTTCACACTTTTATGCCTTAGTTCTGCATTCATGTTTATTCCTAAATGGATGCCTTTTAAGCCTTAGGTCTTAACTCACGCATTCATTATTTATCCACGCACACTAAAGATACAAGTACAATGCATTTGGATCCAATTGCATTATGAACTGGAGCTCATGAGCACATGTGCACATATCCATATGGAAGTGAGTATGTTCTTCCGACAAGTAAACCGTACATGTGTCTATACGACTCATTCTCCTATATTCATTACTGGAGAACTGAGTTATATAATCTCTCACATTATTGTAACTCCACAGCATTGATTAGCTTGTTTTTGTTCATTATATAGTTGCTGAAAATTAGAATTAATGAAATTCACTGTCTCAGTGGATCATGTAGGGATGTATAAATCTGACTTGCATTCGCAAGACAACTATGCTTTTGGAGACTTTATGATGTGCCTCCCAATTGACAACAAAGGTATAGTCGTATTCGTACTTTAACTTCCCGTTAGCCTCGAAAACGACATCATCGTATTCGTTCCACTCCCCCAGTGTTATCCACTATTTAATATTTTTCTTTATAGTTTTCCCCTATTAGCATTACTTTTCCTCTTAAACCTTACTTATTGACTATATATATCTCACTGTGATGATGTAGTGTCGCAACTTAATTTTAGTTCTTTTATGTTGTGTTTCACGTTGTATTACTTCTGTCGGCACTGAGGAGAGCAGCTTCAATCGTTTACGATATCAGTATTCACTCAGTCAGTAAGTTATAGATGACGTACCAATCATAGTGCCGTATCTCTTATCAACACAGTAAGTGGGAATTAACGAGACTACAAACTAGGCGTGAAAGATACTATCCAAATGAAATCGAAACATGGGAAGTACAAAGTGACACTCTAGTTTCTTTAGTGAACATTAACAGTTGTCCGCTGTTACTTATCCCTTTGTTAGTCATTACTGACCAAGATAATTGCAACAGAATGAGTTCTCTAAACTCTCACCTCAAAGATGGAAGTGGGTGTGGCGCATATATATTTGGTGCCCCCTTGTACCAATATTTATGTGTTCAAATAAATAAAATAAGATAATTGTGCAGACTTTTTGTAGGTCTAAATTGGAGTTTTCTTCACTGCTTATTGTATTCGAAGCCCACCGACACGAGTTTTCCAGTATCTGCTAGATAGGTATACCACTATAAGGTACACTGGGACTACATAAGTTTAGTTTAGGATGTAACATACTGCACTGCTGTTCCAACAGAATACTGTATTTCATACCAGATTAGATTAAAATAAACATTCTGTTTATGTCAGACTAGGTGTTTAGCTAGTTAAATCATGAAAACATTAGAGTTTAGGGAACTCATTCTGTTTCAATGTCCTTAAATTTAGTAATGTGTGGCAGTACATGTCATCGCATGAAAACAATCATGATCCAGAAATGTGCTCCGGAAATGAAAACAGTTTTTTGTTAAACGTTTCTGACGATTATTGGTTGTGATATCTGCCATTGTTTTTGTCATTTAGACAGTTAAGTTAACGACTTTGTCAATATATTCCTTTGTCTTTCCATAACTTCTTGTTCGTACATATACAAGCTAGTACTACTGATTAATATGGCCTCTAGATAAGTATATGAAAAGTGCCGCACCCACATAAAACAGCCGAGATTCATAGCTTCATCAATGTTTGATTAAAACGCCACACCTAACGTCAATATTAATAACTGTGGTCCCATCATACTACATGAATGGTCCGAAAATCCTTACAATCGACTACTTGCAGTGTACAAATATGTCTTAACTTCAAAAGCTATGTTCATCGGTAGTGGATCAATAAATACCGGGTTTGGAGACTGTATATTATCATTCTAGCAAACAAAAGCGTCTGCCTCAAATTCGGCACTAGTTGGCTAGAGCTAAATAAACATCATCTTGAGCTGTTACTTCACTTTTTAGTTTGAAAAGTGAGATTCTCCCTAAAGTGTCCATCGTTTTGTGATTTTTTTTACCAAATTCATAAATCACTTCATTTGATAATGTCTGTTCTCACTATGATTTGTCATTTTTCTGCCGTACTAACATGGTTTTGTAGGCTGAATTTTAGTATCCAATCAAATCAAATTCATTCTGCTCTTATGGTTATTCTCAATGGATTCAGCAGGCCTGTAAACCAACTACCTCGGATTTCTCTGAGAACTAATGTCCTAAATACGCGTGCTCACTTATTTGAAGTGTTCTTTCGACGAGTTGCATTTGGTTACATTCGTGTGTTTCCTTTGACTGCTCGTCGCATCATTGAATTCGGGTTTCTGGTACAGGTAACAAATTTATAACATTATGCGACCCAAAACCCATTTATAAACCTTATATCGAGTACTTAAAGGTTAAAACTGTGATACGTGGATCTAGGTTGAAATACGTAATGCGGTTGCTTGAATTCTGGCAATCATACCAACTAATTAGAAGCGTATATTCTTGTACAACTGGACACAAAAACACATGTGCGCTACACATATAAATAGATGTTATTGTTAAAAAACAAGTAAGAGTAGTACAATCAAAATGGCTAGTTAGTCAGTCAGTCACAGCGTAAAACCTGTATTTATGTACATCAGTTCAAGTTGCCATACCTCATTTTTATTTATTTATTTATTTGAACACATAAATATTGGTACAAGGGGGCACCAAATGTATATGCGCCACACAAAACAATGATAATTTGAAAAGGGAAAATAAGAGAGGGAACAATAATGGGGGGAAACGGAAAGGTACAATCAGAAGAAATCTTTCAGTTAAGGAAGAGGCAACCAATTTTTATGAAGAAAGTAAAAGAAGTACAGCAGGATCGCCACTGGCTTCTATTCTGAGCCATATCTGATAACGTCTCTAGCCACTGTGTTGCACCGTCTCTCGGACCCCAGCCAGGGAGTCGTAAAGGACTAACAGAAGCTAGCCCTTTGCAACTTTCTTTCATACCACGACACCATGTCATATACTGACCACCTCTCCGCTTTTTTCAACCAGTCCCAGAGTCGGCAAATAATGCACGACGAGGAATTCTCTGGGACGACATTCGTAGAACATGTCCAAGCCACCGAAGTCGGTGTTTCAAGATGGTGACACCAATGGAATTATCGTCTCTGTGACCGAACACACGATATCGAACCTCTGCATTACTGACATGGTGTTGCCACTAGATGCCAGCAATTCTTCGGAGACAACGATGATCAAACACGGAGAGTCGTCTAACATCCTCAACTCGGAGAGGCCAGGTTTCACAAGCATAGAGCAAAACTGCTCTCACCGACGCGTTGTAGATCCGATCTTTTACAGCCAGACTAACATCACGAAGGCGCCAAAGATGGCCCAGATTGGCATAAGCCGCTCTGGCTTTCACTATACGTGCATTGATCTCATCACTCACACCACCACCAGCACTTATGCAGCTACCCAGATACACGAACTTCTCGACTACTTCTATCTGCTCACCATCCAGAGTGAGTACAGGATTAGAATCCTGCCAGTCTTGTAGAAGAACTTTGCACTTCGAAGGTGCAAAGCACATACCATACCTACGGACACTGATTGCCAACTGATTAAGTGCGGATTGCATGGCTTGGGCATTATTGCACAGTAAAACAATATCATCCACATACTCAAGGTCGAGAAGTCTTTCTCCAGGCAACAGATCAACACCACCATTACTTACATCCATCAGAGCTGTTTCCAGAATGTCATCGATGGCAAAGTTGAAGAGGAATGTTGAGATTGAGCAACCCTGTCTAACCCCACTGCTTGAATGGAACAATGGAGAAAGGTGGTTGTATGCCCTCACTCTGCCTGAGGTGTTTTTATATAGAGCTTTTAGGATGTTAACAAACTTCTCAGGCACACCCTTCTTCAATAGACAATTCCAGAAAGCAGTCCTGTCCAACGAATCGAAGGCAGCCCTGATATCAAGAAACACTACGATTGTTGGCCTGTGATAAGTATGACAGAGTTCTAACATTTGGCGGAGGGTGAAGATATGATCAATACATCCTCGACCGGAACGAAACCCAGCCTGCTCCTCGCGAGTCAATCCTTCTCGGGTTTTGAACAACCTACGAAGTATAACGGAAGCCAATAGCTTGGACGCAATCGGAAGTAGACTTATCCCCCGATAGTTGTTACAGGAACAACGTGAACCCTTTTTAAAGATAGGGACAACTTTCGACTCATTCCATGACGTTGGTACACTCTCTAGTTCCCAGACCTTTGTAAACAACGTCGTCAGTCCCTTAGTCAGAAAGTCACCACCATCTTTAAAAAGAGCCGGAGATAAGTCGTCTGGGCCCGGTGATTTGTAACGTTTCAAGAGTTGGAGTTCCTTGCGGACTTCCGCCTCATTTGGTGGATCAGTCGTCACAGGCCATAGAGCGCAGGACAGTCTGACCGATGTTGCCGGAGCAGCAGGCCAGTTGAACTGCCCTTCGAAGAATTCTGCCCATCGTCCAAGACGTCGATGGATGTTAATGATTGGCGTTCCGTCAGCCTCGCAGATTGTTTCGCTCACACCAGACTTCTTGCTGCCAGTGGCTCAGATGAGCTGGAAGAGCTTCCGGTAGTTATCAGATGCAGCTGCTGCTTCCAGCTCATTAGCACGCTCCGACTACCAGGCTTCACGGTCCTTACACAAGCATTGCCCGATTTCATTACGTAACATCCTTCACCTGTGATCAAACTCACGGTCACCGGGAGTAGACCGACGGGCTTCAATGGGTTGTAAGGAACTAGAAGAAACCCAGTGCTTATAAGCCGGACGTTTCGCGAACCCACAACAGACTGTACCCGCAACCAATGCTCATCTATACTTTTCGGTGGAATGGTAGCTAGCCTAGAACCTAGCTCGGTTTGATACTTAGTTGTAACAGAAGCTGCAATCAGTTTACTGACATCAATCCGTTTAGGACGATGAATTCGTTGGCCACTGAAATGTAAGGTAAGATTGGCACAAACAAGGGCATGATCATAGTCCAGATAGGTACTCCAAAAGGAGCGACACACTTGCACACAACCACGCCAACGGTAGCTGATCGCGATGTGATCAATCTGAGTCCAGGCTTGAGATGCAGAAGCAGGACGCCAGGTAGCAAGTCGGCGATGACCATGCCGGAAGTTGGTGCTAGCCACAAACAGGTTGTGGTCTGCGCACAGTTGCAGTAGACAGTCCCCGTTATCTGTCCTGTGACCAACAAGTCCCCATCGGTCACCTAAACAACTCTCTTCTGTGCCTAGATGCCCGATCTGAGCATTCAAGTCTCCGGCTAGTACTACAATATCTGTCGAACGCACTTTCTGGAGAAGAACAGTTAACTGGTGGTAGAATTCATCCTTGATTGCATCCGGGCTGCAACATGTCGAAGCATAGGCGGAGATGACGAAAATACATCGTTTCTCACACCGACCTCTTACTTTGATGGAACTTTCTAATCAGACAGCACGTAACTGACTGTTATTGAGGATCTGATTGATTAGTGCTGCCTCGGCTCTAGCGCTTAGTGAGACACCAACGCCAGCAAGACCAGACGAAGATGCCACAGGGTCCCCGGATAAACTCACATAAAACAAGCTTTTTGAAGCGACAGATGGAGAGCGAACTTGTAGTACTTCACCAGAGTCTTGAATACGGGTTTCGGATAGACAACAGACGTCGATATTAAGACTTTCTAAAGACATAGCCAACCCTATCTGTTGTCCGACCTGCATAATTGTGCGAACTTTGAAGGCAGCCAGTTTGAATGGTGCACGTGGTTTTAGAAAAACTGCTTCAGTACTCGTATTCGGTGGTAACATACAATTTCCAACCAGGCAGTGACTCGAGAGCGTTTAGATAGAGCCGAATATTCACCATAGGCGAGCTGTTGTATAAGTCGAAAAATAAGGATGGACAGAGTGGAAATAAAAGAGAGTGAATAGATGACGTGGTAAATAATTATAACAATAATAATAATAATAATAATAGTGGTGCGAGTCATTTCAGTGTAAATCGGAGCGAAAAGAATGTTTTCCATAAGTAAATAGTTCATCATGTTTTAGTGCGTAGACTGGGATACTGCCCGGGTGCCCAGACCGAACCAGGTGGTTTTCTTAGGGGGCCACACCCCGAGCCTTTGACCTAGGGGTCTAGTTCACAAGGCAGTGGAATATCGTGAGGAGATGCAGTACCATGGACCCGGTGACCAAAAATTGGTTCATACGCCATTTATTCCCGCAGGATACTGGAGCCCATGTGCACTGTTGATTTGGGATCTGGTTATAGCGCCGGACATTCGCTTTTCGTCCTCTCATTTTCGTAAACAACACCCCCGCCACGAGAAGGCAGTGAGTAGGACTTCCCTGGCAGAGGCGACGATTGAATGTTAATAGATGCATAGACTACGTGGTTGGGATCCGCGTGATTATCGTAGCCAGTGGTTGAATACTTTAGATGACGTGACTCAAAACCGTTTGCAGTGGTACAGGTGCATGTGTTTTTTGTTTTCCGCCATATGGGAATGAAAATAGTCTATTTCTGTAGTGTGCACAATGTGTTTCGCCCCAACCCTTCGTTTAGCTTGGAATTAACCGAATAAGTATATCCAGTTTAAACAAAGTGCTAACGTTTTTATACATTTTAAATTGTATTGGCTTAATTATTTTTCAGGCTGTTTTCGTACTAGTTTTATTCATACATCTTCACGTAACATTTGTAAAATCTCCAGTAACGTGCTTGGATCATTTGCGTAGTGAATTCGAAAGCATAAAGTCTGGTTCAGGTGTATCTTTTACCTCCAGAACTATGGATGCCAATTATTTGTCAAAAGGTAATGGATCAGATTCTTTTTTACGACGTTTATGGCCTAACTATGGTGTTTTACGTATCGAAGTCATCCGTTCTCCTGATCCGTTCTATTCTCTGGAAGACTCATATGCGAAAGAGTTTTACGGTACTGAAACTGATTATCGTTCTGAAGCCAAAAATGAAAAAACACCACAGATTAACGAGTTGGATAAACATATTGCTTATATTCCCAAGACTTCAAAATATTCATTAGCTTATTTTGCTGAGAATATCATCCCCGAACATCAGGACTTCTGGAATTCACTTTTATCTTTGCCATTCATTACATATGGATCCATCAAAGAAGATTTCAACCACTTTTTAAATTACTTATACTCTAGTAATCGAGAGCGAACATTCTCTTTTGAGGAGAATGAGGAACATATGTCTCCATATAACGCAATTATAACCACCAGGAATAAACTCAGTCAGTTGTTGCCTGAAGTGAACCGGTTAGTATTCGACATCTTTGCTGGTATCGTTGATTTTATTTGCGACATTCCTATTCGCATATATGCCTCGTCAGGTCCTGGTAAGAACATTTTTTGTTTTATTTTATTTGACACAAACGATTCTTGCAGAAATAATTTAAGTACCCCACCAGATCTTAAAAGCGATACCACTAAATTTAAACGATCTTTCCTTTTTTAAGTGATTTAGTCTTAATAGTAGTTTTTGTCGGGAAAAAATATCTTACTTCACACAAAACTGATGCAATGCTGATGTTAGGATAAGTTAATTCCTTACACACATTACTGTGCTTGTAATTTGACCACTCTAATTTCTGTCAGTAAACACCTATGTGCTCACTACCTTGTTCATAGTGCAGAATATTCCTCTACTTTGTTGGTCATCACCCATTCAATCTACTCAGAACTCTGTATACTACATTTCTGACAACCAAGGAACAAATGTTGAAATGTACAAGAAGTATATGAGTTAAGAAAAGAAAGTAGACAAGAGTAATAAGAAACAAATGATTTAAATATTAAAGTGTGAATGGATTTTTGGTATTGTGATTGGGTTCATTTCCTATTCATAAAGATATCCTACTTAGCATACGCAGATGTTGCTATATGAGTCATAACCAATTGACTAAATAAAAATGGGCGGGGTGGGTTTCGCATTGTAATGCACTGGTAAATATTTAAGTGGATTGCCCACTAAAGCACTACATGTCATCTGGTTTTCTGAATAAATCATTAAAGAACAAGCACAAAAGTGTAACGGACTTTTAGTTTTCGGTCCACAAAAAGTCTTTATATGATAAAATGTTCTAACGTGTTGGTTGTACGACAGCGGATTTTAAGGTGCTCGTTTGTTCAACAGACTTAAAATAGCTTTGATATTACGAAATAAAAAATCTTGTTAGCTAGCAATACATGTGGTAGCGTTTACGGATTCAGTAAAGGTTGAGGAGTCATTCAATGTATCTATGATCCTAACGGAACCTAGACTGTTTTTCTAGAGTCAACTTGCTTACACTTTTTCTCTTGATTTTCGCAGTATGCTATCAGCAAATTATTTATACATAATTAATACCACACTTGTCAGGCTCTGTAATAATGGATTCTATAATGATGGATTGGTTTTTGACTAACAGTAAAGTAAATTATAGCTTGTATTCATAATTCTAAAAAAAATAGATGTGACTTAGGGATAATGAGTTTTTAGATTTTTGGTTATAAACAGGTTTCAAATTCTTAAATTAAATACGGTTCTGACAAGTACATAAAAAGCAATGATGCGATTCGACCGAGTGATAATTGTATGCGAGACCGAATTATTAACACAAACCACTTTATAAACGGAAATCAAAACAAGATCAATAACTGTAAAGAGTAGGCTTTTTTCTCGAGTAAACTAACATAATTATGTATAAAACATTAAGCTGGATAGTCAAAATGATTATATATCCTAAAGAATCGCAGATAAGAATTTTGTAGGTTACTCACTCAGCAATCAATAAAGACCTGCCTATTAAGACACATTCTCGTCCAATAATAATTATATTGATATGGTCGCGATAAAATAAATAAATGTGTAATTTGTTTGCATATATATAACTTTAATTGATTCGCTAGAAGCCTAAGTTCTTTCTTAACCAATTAAACTAGATGGAATCATTCAACTAATTCATACTCTCTTATCTGGTATAAGCACATAGTAGTTTGTTTATAATCCTATTAGAGAAGCAGTACTTTATAAGCTTTAAGACAAGTAACATGGAAATATGTCATGCTTTTTATTTCTACTAGTTTTTTCAAGATACCATGAATCCATCGTATTTCGTTACATTTCGGTTTTATTCGGTTCAGTTTATTCCCGAATATCTTAACATTTGTAGGTCAAATTCATCATTGATTGACCTTATTTAAAATAAAATTCAAAACCTGGAAACACTAGGCAACCATTTTATCTTAGTATGAGACCTTTCATAAGTGCTCATCCTTAACCCCGCCAAAGGTTCAACTCAGAACCTTTGGATCATGGAACCACATCTTATCAATCTGACCAGCTTGTTGGCTTCTAATAATATAAGTTTCGGACTTTAATATTTAATCAGATTTTGAATTGACTAAATCTATGTGCTTGTGTATGTACCCATGTAAAAAACAACAGAATACAATGGACTCATTAAGCTCTACAAAACACTATCATTTTTACCTTCCCTAACAAGTTTTTCCTGCCTAAATTTCGTAGCAACCATACAATTTTTAGAACTTTTGATACTGTTTTACAGCATTAGACACAAATGAGAGCTACATAATTGAATACGCCTTGGAGTATGGATTTCTTCGTCTTTCACCGCGGGCCCGAAATCGGCTTAACGTAACTGTAAAATTAATTGTTCTTGGTATGTTCAACTTTCCTGTAATTGTCTTATAACGTTTTATTGAGATATACTGAAAAAGTTAACATTCAATCAATCACAACGTAAAACCTGTACTTATGTACATCAGTTCAAGTTGCCATACCCCATTGGCACAGATAGATGAAGTTGTCAGGTCAAATCCCCAAGTTGTAGAGGTGGTAACAGCGTTAATGCTGACTGAAAAGAGTGGGCATCGAAAATACAGTTCAAGAAAAGAATTAGTTTGATAACTACAGAAAATAAAAATGATAAGGGATTCAAAAGCTCAGAATTTGGGGGAAGACAAAATGGCTCAGTCTAATCATCGATGTCTTCATGGATTGGTGCTGTGTTTTTTATTTGTCCGTCCCTAGCTTTCCTCCAATCTACTCTCACACCATACAAAATAGCCCGTCGAGGTAGGCTGTGGTTGTGCATACGTGACACATCCCAGCCGCCTGTTTAAGATTTACTATCTCACCAATCAACTCTCCATCCTTACCTAGTATCGTGTTTCCAATCCAAGTATTGCTTACTTGGTGATCTCAAAATACAAGCAGATTCCCTCGAAGACACCTGTGATCGAATACTAGTGGTCTACGAATATCCTCTATTCTTAATGGTTATGTTCCACAAATTACTGGAAATTCTATTCTCGCCTCGACAGACAATTCACATTCATTTTTATTTTGCTTTCTTTTATATACTGCGTCACTTATCCACTGTTTTATTCCCGCTTTATGTATCCTTATTTTTCAACTTATTCAGCAACTCGCCTATGGTGGAAACTCTGTTCTATCTAATAAACGATCTCGAGTCACTGCCTGGTTGGAAATTGTATGTTACCACCGAATACGAGTACTGAAGCAGTTTTTCTAAAACCACGTGCACCATTCAAACTGGCTGCCTTCAAAGTTCGCACAATTATGCAGGTCGGACAACAGATAGGGTTGGCTATGTCTTTAGAAAGTCTTAATATCGACGTCTGTTGTCTATCCGAAACCCGTATTCAAGACTCTGGTGAAGTACTACAAGTTCGCTCTCCATCTGTCGCTTCAAAAAGCTTGTTTTATGTGAGTTTATCCGGGGACCCTGTGGCATCTTCGTCTGGTCTTGCTGGCGTTGGTGTCTCACTAAGCGCTAGAGCCGAGGCAGCACTAATCAATCAGATCCTCAATAACAGTCAGTTACGTGCTGTCTGATTAAAAAGTTCCATCAAAGTAAGAGGTCGGTGTGAGAAACGATGTATTTTCGTCATCTCCGCCTATGCTTCGACATGTTGCAGCCCGGATGCAATCAAGGATGAATTCTACCACCAGTTAACTGTTCTTCTCCAGAAAGTGCGTTCGACAGATATTGTAGTACTAGCCGGAGACTTGAATGCTCAGATCGGGCATCTAGGCACAGAAGAGAGTTGTTTAGGTGACCGATGGGGACTTGTTGGTCACAGGACAGATAACGGGGACTGTCTACTGCAACTGTGTGCAGACCACAACCTGTTTGTGGCTAGCACCAACTTCCGGCATGGTCATCGCCGACTTGCTACCTGGCGTCCTGCTTCTGCATCTCAAGCCTGGACTCAGATTGATCACATCGCGATCAGCTACCGTTGGCGTGGTTGTGTGCAAGTGTGTCGCTCCTTTTGGAGTACCTATCTGGACTATGATCATGCCCTTGTTTGTGCCAATCTTACCTTACATTTCAGTGGCCAACGAATTCATCGTTCTAAACGGATTGATGTCAGTAAACTGATTGCAGCCTCTGTTACAACTAAGTATCAAACCGAGCTAGGTTCTAGGCTATCTACCATTCCACCGAAAAGTATAGATGAGTATTGGTTGCAATTGCACGATGCCATGAAACTGACGAGTAAAGCCGCTTGCGGCTTCACTATACGTCCGGCTTATAAGCACTGGGTTTCTTCTGATTTCTTACAAATCATTGAAGCCCGTCGGTCTACTTCGGGTGACCGTGAGTTTGATCACAAACGAGGACTGTTACGTAATAAAATTGAGCAAAGCTTGCGTAAGGACCGAGAAGCCTGGTGGTTGGAGCGTGCCAAGCAGTTGGAAGCAGCAGCTGCATCTGGTAACTGTCGGAGGCTCTTTCAACTTATCCGAGCCACTTGCAGCAAGAAGTTTAGTGTGAGTGAATCAATCTGTGAGGATGCCGATCGCTAACATCAAACGACGTCTTGAACGACAGTCAAAGTTTTTCGAGGGGTAGTCCAACTGGTTTTCTGCCCCGGCAACATCGATCAGACTGTGGTGTAGCAATATTTACGTGTCCATATAAATAAATAAATAATAAAACCTTTGGTTGGGAGATGACTATCTCATTTACTTCACTCCTTATCATCAATTTAGGTGATAACGTAAGTCAATCTGGAGGTATCATTATAAATTCGGAGGGAGAGGACCCCATCCCAAACATGCTTGCACTGTTGCTTAAGGTGGTCAGAAGACTGCATTTTGTTAGCATCTTCACCAAATAGAACTATATCACCTGCGTATCTTGAGTCAACAAGTGAATTTCCTGGCAGATTATCAACCCCTAAAATGTCAGACGATGGAAGTGTTATCTCTAAACACATATCTATTACAAAGTTAAATAAAAGTGGGGAGAACGGACAACTTTGACGAACACCACTTAAAATAACCAATTCCAATGACAGTTCACCATAAACTCTGACTCGACCAGTAGTGTTCTATTAGGGAGTCTGTACATGATTAATGTTATTCTCTGGTACACCTTTCAAGTTAAATAAAAATTAGTTAGTAATAACATCCACTAACATCAGTACTCAACTGTATAACGTCTGGTAATGAGAAGGGAATCCTTCTTTTTCAAAGTCCATAATTGACTAAATGTTACTCAGTAAACTTTTAATTAATACTTTTCGAATTTTTGATAAAGATGCTTAGATCACAAAGTAACAGTTAATTTCATCTGGTGATAAAATGACGTAATATTAAGTTTTTATTCTGTTTGTTACTTGTAATTACCTTTCTGTCAGTCAGCTGCAACATAGGACCAGGCACGTATATGCATCGGTCCAAGTTGCCATACCGCATTAGCACAACAAGATGAACACCGGATTCATAGGAGTAGTTAATTCAGTGGTGGTAATATATAGAAGAAAGAGTGTGTATAAGGAGATAGTACAGGAAGGTAGAATTAGTTCCTAGAAAGAAAGATTTGAAGTGATTTTAATCTCTTAGTTTAAAGGAAGACAGAGAGTGTATACACCGACGCCATTGTGATCGATTCTGAGCCATGTCACCCAGAGTCTCCAACCACTTAGTAAAACATGTTTCGAAATTATCTTATTGGTGTCTTGTTCTTTGTTTTTCCCTTTATTTACGTTCTTTTTTGTTACGTAAATTTCTTCGTATATAATTCCATGAGTGAGGCTAAGATAAACTAGAGGGCAGTTTTGTTTCTGCGTTGTCCGTGTTGTCAACTCAAATCGGAGGATATAGTAATTCCATGTGTAAGCGGTTGAATTTATTACTGCAAAAATAAAGTTCCATAAATTAATGAACCAAAAATGTAATTTTTTACAGCGTTATGGTCGCATAGTTCACGAATTTCCAATGTGAAAAAAACAAAAGAATTAATATTAACAAAATAGAGCTTCAAATTAAGTTCTGCAGCAAAATGAGTTACTTACAAACTTTTCATATCATCCTGCCCATTATGACTGCCCACTAACGCAAAAATATTTTCATTATCCAACGTTCGTTCACTTATCGTAAAAATTTATCATTCAGTGTTAGTGTTTTCCTGAAAGTAATTTTGACACTTTCGTATTAGATTGTTGACTAGAGATTAGTAACTCATTACGTCATCTGTCTAATATGTTTAAAGTTAATAATTGCCATTCAGAAATGCCAGTGTAAACGTGAATGTCGTTCACAGAACTTTTTAAGGATGCCCTATTTAATTTTCATTCGTGTTTAGTACGGACCTTTATTTCGTATGATGAAATACTTTGTTGTTAATATTATTTGCTTATGAAATCTTGGTGTACTGTTCCCGTTTAATCGTTCCAGTCTCTTTCTACAGGACTCGCTATATTTTTATAGTAACAAGCGATGGAGCTTACTAGGATTGGTTATTGAGATGTTTTCTTTCAAATTTCTGTGCGGAAATAATTTTTTTCTACTATTAGGTTTACGTAATCAAATATGCATATTGCTTAATTGTAGACCCAGAAACAAACCCTTGCTTCGGCAGTAAACTCAGTCGTTTTCTCATGGAAGAGTTTCTCGGTTATGAAGACCTTTTGATTGGTAGTGTGAAGTACTTATCAGCTAGCGAAGGACTGAAAGGTTATGTGGTAAATGTAATGAGCGGACAACATTATAAGCTCGTTATTTCGCAGATGTCTAGGTCGTCCTACTTTGCTGCTGCTCTGATCATGTTACTATTTGTAAGTTTTCTGTTAACGGTTTTCACTCCTGTTTCAGATATTCTGTACTTTTTAAGTAATTTTCGAGATGAAAGAAGTTGCGGAAAATAGGAATTAGTGATCTCATGGGCTACAATTGATTGTTAATTGTTTACATCGTTTCAATATTCTGATTTTTATTACCACTTTAGCAATATAATGACTAGTTAAAAATGGGGGAAATTATGGGCTTTATTTAGATTCTCGATCATTAGTCTTCCTATTTCTTGCAGAGTTCGACTGTTTTTAGCTGTTCTGGTAATGTATTTCATCAAATTGCACGAATTACTTTTGAACGTCTTATTCAAATTAAGTAAAACCTTTAATTCTGTATTATTTTTTCATAACAACCAGTTAGCGAAATTTCAGCTCCCTGGGTGATAAAATGTTTTGAGATTCTTCGAAATCCTGTATTAATCTAGCTACAAAATCAAAGTAGTCAATTAATCAAACAATAAATAATAAATGTAAACAAAAAAACGAAGGAAAGTAATATACTGACAAAATTGACTGAATTATTTTGCCTTTAATTCGACATTACGAAATGTGATATGACAACAAACACTCATGGGAATACGAAATCGTGTTTAACTTTTGAAAATTGAGTAGCTCTAGGGATTTCTGAACTTCCACCAACAAGTCTCCGTCACTAACGATAAACGTCACTTGCAATATTAGTTCATGACAGGTAGTTGTCTTTCATAAATTTTTGTAAGGGTAATTGATGTCTCTATTGTTCTGTCATAAAATGACGAACTAGGAAACATTGACTCTGAGAATAATTCACTCTTCTTTTCATTCATACTTCCGGTTTCAGAAAGTACGAAGCTAATAATACGAAAATAATTACTCATGTAGGAGTGTGTGACTGGATTCAGGCACCTGTCGTTTGGGTTTTCCGGTCAAGTCTCAATGTTTTTTTTTATTTCGGCAGCATTTGGTTCCTGAAATAATATTTTACTCCTACTATGAATGCTTCTGTTGCATCATCTCCAATCTTTTTTAATCGATGCTAATGCTTTGAGCCTACAGGATGTCATCCACAGTTTTATCAGACCGTACTTTATTCCACATCTTAAAGCTTCTAAATTTATAACCGCAGACAATAGATTTCATTGGTTAAGATTGTTGGATCCAGTGACGTAAATTTACGCCATATCTCCTGAACACACATAAAAGTTTTGTTCACCTAACCTCATCTAACTAGTTTGAGTTAGCGTGGCTTGCCCTCTCCATGTCTAGAGATTCGCTTGACCCATAGTATTGTTGACGCAGGCTCAGGATTAAGTCGGAAAGCCAATAGTCGCATGTGCTATCTGACTAAATCAACTGTAAGAACTCGAGAAAGTATGTTACAAACCATTGATTTTTCGTACTTTCTCCTTAATCACCAGATTTTAGTTCGAATAAACTTAAGTATGAGTCCTATCGAAATTTGACTACTCTTCCTCCAAAAACTTAGTCACTCTAATTTAGTTATTGTGGCATGTTATTTCAAGTTTCAGGCAAATAAAATAAATCAAATAAGAACGCTCTTAGGTGAGGCTTTTTACACTTCAGTTCAATAAATAGACAAAGGTAATCTTTAAATGCAGTTACGTTCAATGAATTGTTTATGGTCATCAGGTACTAAATTTGAGCATTAAAAAATATTTGGTCTGACGAACTCCAGCACTAACGAGGAACACAGATGATGATAGATATAACAACCAATAATCGTCAGAAACGTTTAACAAAAAAACTTTTCATTTCCGGAGCACATTTCTGGATCATGATTGTTTTCATGCGATGACATGTACTGCCACACATTACTAAATTTAAGGACACTGAAACAGAATGAGTTCCCTAAACTCTAATGTTTTCATGATTTAACTAGCTAAACACCTAGTCTGACATAAACAGAATGTTTATTTTAATCTAATCTGGTATGAAATACAGTATTCTGTTGGAACAGCAGTGCAGTATGTTACATCCTAAACTAAACTTATGTAGTCCCAGTGTACCTTATAGTGGTATACCTATCTAGCAGATACTGGAAAACTCGTGTCGGTGGGCTTCGAATACAATAAGCAGTGAAGAAAACTCCAATTTAGACCTACAAAAAGTCTGCACAATTATCTTATTTTATTTATTTGAACACATAAATATTGGTACAAGGGGGCACCAAATATATATGCGCCACACCCACTTCCATCTTTGAGGTGAGAGTTTAGAGAACTCATTCTGTTGCAATTATCTTGGTCAGTAATGACTAACAAAGGGATAAGTAACAGCGGACAACTGTTAATGTTCACTAAAGAAACTAGAGTGTCACTTTGTACTTCCCATGTTTCGATTTCATTTGGATAGTATCTTTCACGCCTAGTTTGTAGTCTCGTTAATTCCCACTTACTGTGTTGATAAGAGATACGGCACTATGATTGGTACGTCATCTATAACTTACTGACTGAGTGAATACTGATATCGTAAACGATTGAAGCTGCTCTCCTCAGTGCCGACAGAAGTAATACAACGTGAAACACAACATAAAAGAACTAAAATTAAGTTGCGACACTACATCATCACAGTGAGATATATATAGTCAATAAGTAAGGTTTAAGAGGAAAAGTAATGCTAATAGGGGAAAACTATAAAGAAAAATATTAAATAGTGGATAACACTGGGGGAGTGGAACGAATACGATGATGTCGTTTTCGAGGCTAACGGGAAGTTAAAGTACGAATACGACTATACCTTTGTTGTCAATTGGGAGGCACATCATAAAGTCTCCAAAAGCATAGTTGTCTTGCGAATGCAAGTCAGATTTATACATCCCTACATGATCCACTGAGACAGTGAATTTCATTAATTCTAATTTTCAGCAACTATATAATGAACAAAAACAAGCTAATCAATGCTGTGGAGTTACAATAATGTGAGAGATTATATAACTCAGTTCTCCAGTAATGAATATAGGAGAATGAGTCGTATAGACACATGTACGGTTTACTTGTCGGAAGAACATACTCACTTCCATATGGATATGTGCACATGTGCTCATGAGCTCCAGTTCATAATGCAATTGGATCCAAATGCATTGTACTTGTATCTTTAGTGTGCGTGGATAAATAATGAATGCGTGAGTTAAGACCTAAGGCTTAAAAGGCATCCATTTAGGAATAAACATGAATGCAGAACTAAGGCATAAAAGTGTGAAGTACCGCAGGCGACGACCAGAAGCGGAGCACTTCAAAAAAGCGCGATCGACTCACAAATGGTGCAAATGGTTATGTACGGAATACCAATGATTAAGATCATGAGTCAGTTGAAGCTAGACCACCATGGAAAACCTGGAAGCACTGGACGGCCGTTTCGTCCTATTATGGGACTCCTCAGCAGTGCGCATCCACGACCTCGCCCCCTGCGAGATTCGAACCCAGGACCTACTGGTTTCGCGCGCGAGCACTTAACCACTAGACCACTGAGCCGGCATCCAACGGTGTTAATGTCTAACTTCAACTAATCCACGAAATTGAGCGACACATCCACCATTGTCTTCAGTGAGTTACTATCCCACAACAGACCTGGTTGAACTCCACTGGTCACTACTTCTCACTAGAACTCCAGGATATACCTCTTGAAGCCAGTCACTAGTGAGCATATGTTGATTATTATCAGAAGGGGTTTTGTGGAGATTGTAGTAATTTCAATGATTAAGATCATGTATGGAATAGAAGAAGCTTTCGCTTAACGAGTTTCCGTGTCTAGCAGCAGTGGATCACCAATACCTCCAAGCAGGAACCTAGGTATATCAACTATGATAGATTAAAGAAAAGAAATTGGTAACTTAATAATAGGTCAAGTTTCCTCTTAAAGGACTCCTAGGAAGTCACTTGTACTAGCTCAGCCGGCAGCGAATTCCAGCATTTGACAACTCTTAAGGAGTAGAAGTCGTGACTATAGTCCGTTCTGCTATGTTGTATCTCCAATTTCTGGGTGTTACCCCTTAGGTTTGTATTGGGACCAAGCTTAGGCAGGTGTTTCAGGGGATGTCCGGAAGTGTTGAGAATATTGTAAGCCATTAGAGGGTCACCAACTCCGCCTGACAAACGTAAATATGTGGAAGATTTGGCATTGACGGCGGAAAAGGCTGCCAGAGAAGGAAACATGAGACAACTGTATGAAACAACAAAGAAACGCTCTGGAAATCACCGTAAACCAGAACGACCAGTGAAAAGCAAGGAAGGCAAGATAATCACCAACATTGAAGAACAACGAAACAGGTGGGTAGAACACTTCTAGGAACTCTTGAATTGACCAGCCCCACTGAACCCACCCAACATCGAAGCAGCACTCACGGACCTCCCAATTGATGTTGGCCCACCAACAATTTAAGAAATCAGCATGGCTATCAGACAAATCAAGAGTGGTAAAGCAGCAGGACTAGACAGCATTCCAGCAGAGGCACTGAAAGCAGACGTAGCGGCAACTGCAAGGATACTCCAAACTCTCTTCAGAAAGATCTGGGATGAGGAACAGGTACCAAAAGACTGGAAAGAAGGACTTCTAGTCAAAATACCAAAGAAAGGCGATCTCAGCAACTGTGACAACTACAGGGGAATCACTCTTCTTTCAACAACAGGAAAAGTCTTCAACAGGGTATGATTAAACAGGATGAAGGACTCCGTAGACGCCCAACTTCGAGACCAACAGGCAGGATTCCGTAAGGATAGATCGTGCACAGACCAAATCGCAACTCTACGGATCATTGTGGAACAATCAATTGAATGGAATTCATCACTCTATATCAACTTCATCGACTACGAAAAAGCATTTGATAGCGTGGACAGAACAACCCTATGGAAGCTTCTTCGACACTACGGCGTGCCTCAGAAGATAGTCAATATCATAGGGAATTCCTATGATGGATTAAACTGCAAAATCGTGCATGGAGGACAGTTGACAAAGTCGTTCGAAGTAAAGACCGGTGTCAGGCAAGGTTGCTCACTCTCACCCTTTCTCTTTCTCCTGGTGATCGACTGGATCATGAAGACGTCAACATCTGAAGGGAAGCATGGGATACAGTGGACAGCTAGGATGCAATTAGATGATCTAGACTTCGCAGATGATCTGGCTCTTCTATCGCATACGCAACAACAAATGCAGGAGAAGACAACCAGTGTAGCTGCAGCCTCAGCAGCAATAGGTCTCAATATACACAAAGGGAAAAGCAAGATTCTTCGATACAACACAGCATGCACCAATCCAATCACAATTGATGGAGAAGCTTTGGAAGATGTAAAAACCTTTACATATTTGGGCAGTATCATCGATGAACACGGTGGGTCTGATGCAGATGTGAAGGCACGGATTGGCAAAGCAAGAGCAGCATATTTACAACTGAAGAATATCTGGAACTCAAAACAATTGGCAACCAACACCAAAGTCAGAATTTTCAATACAAATGTCAAGACAGTTCTACTGTATGGCGCGGAAACCTGGAGAACTACGAAATCCATCGTCCAAAAGATACAGGTGTTTATTAACAGTTGTCTACGCAAAATACTTCAGATCCGCTGGCCGGACACTATAAGCAACAACCTACTGTAGGAGAGAACAAATCAGATCCCAATGGAGGAAAAAATCAGGAAGAAGCGCTGGAAGTGGATAGGACACACATTGAGGAAAGCACCGAACTGCGTCACAAGACAAGCCCTCACATGGAATCCTCAAGGTCGAAGGAGGAGAGGAAGACCAAAGAATACATTACGCCGAGAAATGGAGATAGATATGAGAAAAATGAATAAGGATTGGATGGAACTAGAAAAGAAGGTCCAGGACAGAGTGGGTTGGAGAATGCTGGTCGGCGGCCTATGTTCCATTGAGAGTAACAGGCGTAAGTAGAGGGTCACCTGTAAAAGCCTGTACTCTACTCGGTAAAGATTAATTGATTGAAGGAGCTGTTCATAAGGCTTGAATTTGAGTCACCGTACTGAAGTAGTAGGCAGTCTTACAGACCACCATACAGATTCATCAAGATTGTTAAACTGATGGTGATGAACTTTGTGTACCTCCAAGCAAGATCGTATGTATACGGCTACTCCACACCCGATTCCTGTTTTTCTCTCGTTGCGAAACAAAGACATCCCTTAATCCAAAAAACCTAAATTTTTGTTGCAATTTTATTCTCCAGTTGATCTCTTTGAACACATTTTTTGTTATTTCAGTACGTAGCCAGTTCCTAGCAATTGTCCAATAGGCTGTAATCGTATCACACGATTGCACTGGTTCATTCAGTCCAGTTTCAGCTTTAGTTTGGAAAGGATAATAGGCTAGGTGGCTTGTCCTATTCGTGGCAATGGTGGTCTCTCATTTGGATCAACTTTCTAAAGCGTCGACAGATGAAGCTCCAATCACGTGTTAAATTAATGAATTTCATTTGTTGATGATTCTATGGGAGAGTCAGCTGACAAGTAATTTGTACTGGGCTCGTGAACATTTTTAGAGTATCATCGTAACGTCTCTGATTTGAAAGACAAGAAATATGAGGGCATATAAGATACAAATTTATCACTAAGCAGTTAAAAAACTACGATCAAGTCACCTCTGGTTCTTCTATATGACAATGAAAATAAGTTTGGTTCAACCAGTCAATCACCATATGGGAACCTTGCTAACCCGAGAATCAACTTGTTTACGGTCCTTTGGATCTTTTTCAATGGCTCGCCATCTCTTTTTAGACAGTAAATAGCTGTTTGTACACAGTACTCCAGGTTAGTACGAACGAATACTGTATATAAAGTTCAAAGAGTTTTAGCATCGACATGGCTAAAAGCTCTACGTATTGATCATGGGGTTCTAAAACATTTGATAGCTACCGCACGACAGTATGCCGTAGTTTCCAAGTCGTGGCTAACAATGATTCCTAAGTCATTGCGTGTCTGGACAACAGGTAGCTCAGTGTTATTCACTGTGTATGTATCTGTACCATGTTGACCAATATACATCACAATTCACTTGGAAGCATTTATCAGGAAATGCCAAATTCTATACCATTCAGATCATTTCTCCAGGTCGTTTTGAAACTCCAAACCATTGCCTTTACTTTTTATCGCTCTTCATATCGTCAGTATATAACGGAACTGATGATGATAAGAGACTAGGAAGGTCATTTATACACAGGATAAATAGCACTGTACCCTGGGATACCCTGCTAAATACAGTTTCCCAGCTAGACAATTTTGAGTTCATCCGTACTCTATGCTGACGTCCAACTAGGCGGTTCTTTATCCACATAAATTAGTTGCCTCTAATTCCAATATCAGTTAACGTGTTTGACAGCCGGTCAACAAATGAACTTCCAGTCACGTAGTTTGTCTTGGTGGATATTGAGTATCCCCAACAGCAAAATTTTTTTCCAAACCATTCAGCATCTCGCTTTTTTAAGTATTCTGTCGTGTCTAGACGGTTTTAGATACCTGATTGTTTGATTTCATAAAGTGTGTTGCAAAATACGGCGTGTTATGCAGGTTTTGTTGTGCCACATGTATCATTTACATTTTCCTATTTCATCTCAGTATAAAACTAACTGGTAGCTGATGCATCAATTGCACTATGAAGACAAATATTTCATCTGCGAATTTCTTCATTATAATTTGTAACCCTGCTTTTTCAAGTTATATATTTATCCATCCCTTTACATTATTTTTTGCAGACTTTTTGTATATCCGTTCTTTTAAGATATTCAAGTCAACAGCTTGTGGTTGTAATAGGTAAGTAATTTACTGTTATATCAATCGGGTTACTTATTTGAATTAGAATATCTCTCTTCTATGGTTTAGTTGGAATCAGAAGTTTATTCACAACTTACCTTGCAAACACTAATTCTTTATTAATTTTAATATATATGAACTATAGCTGCAAAAAAAACTACAGGACTATCATACTGAAGTAAATGAAAAGCAAGGACATAATTGAATGTGTAAATCTGATTGGGCACTTATTTTTTAGGTATATTGTTACAAAAACGTAATATACTTTTTAACTTTTTTCTCTGTATTTTTTTTGCCAGTCTGGTTTTACGAAAATTAATTATTTTATGATAACCTAGCTCACTCCCATTCTAAATAACAAACAAATTGTCGTTGTTTTGACAGTTCCTAATTATATTGTCTCTGTCTTTCATTAATATTAACAGAGTATTTACCAAAGTAACTCAATAGAAGCGTGTTAAATGTCTAAAAACAGTCGTTAACAGAAACTTCAGGTGTTGTATGTTAAAGCATCTTTCCATTTTTAAGAGGCTATTTGTCTAGATAAATGCAAATTAACTTCTGTTAATTAGCTATACTTTTTTACTCGTAAGTTGAGTCGTTACTAAGTGTTTCATATGAATATAAAGCTGTTTCGATAAATTTCGTGGTTATGTACACAAATGACAACTTGGTTTGTCTCTCCACTAATTTTATCTTTCGGTATTTGTGTTCCAGCTGATATTCTCCAAATGTTTGAAACGAATACCTCATTTGGGATTCCTGTTGCCCCATTTATGACAGTTATTCTTGCTCTTGTTGGTAAGTTATGCATTGTAGATGTGGTTCATTAAATTCTTGTTTTATAATATTTCTAAATAACTGCTGTGACTGTTGAATAATAGTGCTTTTAAATGGTTTTGATAATAACATGTGTGGTCAGAAAAAATCAGTGATCATCAGTATAACAATATCGGTACCTTCACGGATTAATACACTTTTTTACTAATGAACTTTTCAGGTTATCGTGAGTTATGTTTGTAGTATACTTCAAAAATGAATGATATCCATGATTCATTAAGTTTGTGACTCGTTATTGTTAGAAGGCCCCGCAAATGCCCTGGTACGACCGAGAGTGGGGAGAGTCCGCTCTCCCTCTTGAAACGCTCTCACATGGCCACGCGTATACAGCCTCTGCCAGGGAAGTCCTACTCACTGCCTTCTCGTGGCGGGGGTGTTGTTTACGAAAATGAGAGGACGAAAAGCGAACGTCCGGCGCTATAACCGGATCCCAAACCAATGGTGCACATGGGCTCCAGTATCCTGAGGAACAAATGGCGTACGAACCAATTTCTTGGTCACCGGCTTCCATAGGACTGCATCTCCTCACGATGCTCCACTGCCTTGTGGGTCAGACATTCAGGTCGATGGCTCGGGGTGTGGCCCCCTAAGAAAGCCACCTGGTTCGGTTTGGGCACCCGAGCAGTATCACAGCCCTCATATATATATATTTGGTGCCTCCTTGTACCAATATCTATGTAACCTTTTCTATGCGCTGTATTTTTCCTTATGAGATAATTAGGCTATATCTGCTTTATTAGTACAACCATGTAGTATTACATTAAACAAGATGTTTCGGTCTACTAATTAGCTATCCTTTGACTCTACATATGTGGGCTTGTAAATTTAGTTGTGATTAACATCTCAGCTTGTCGCAATAAAGTCTCTAAATGTTTATGGGATCTTATTGACTCACATTGATTTACATACTTTTGTTTCCAGTCCTCCAGTCCTCAGTCACTCATAAAATTTACATATTTAGTTTCTTTCATTTCTTGGGTGCATGGCACTATAGAATTAGATTAGCTGATGATTTTGATCATGGTCATAATTCATTCTGGTAGTGTAACGTTTACTTATTATTTACCTTAAGTATTTTTTGATCGATTTTGCAATGATATTAATAAATATTTATTGTTGACCTTTAATGTGATGTAGCAAGTCCGTTTTCCATCCTAACGCAAAGCCTACCAATTGTTTATAATTTCCAGCCATGGAAACTATCATGTCTGAATTTTTCGGAGATTCAATCACTGCGTTTTATGTTATTCTTATTATAAGTGTTTGTGATCACTATGAAGCTGTATTTTGTCGTACTGAATTAAGCAAAAGATATTGGCCAAGGTTAGTCAATTTTTACATTATGCCGCGCTTATCGATAATCTTCAGCTGAACGTTTGTTCTATAGACAGCTTTGTTTAGTTTCTGACTTTAATTTTATTAATATCTGAATAGTGTTACGTCACTCTCATCTTCAGTCTACTTAATCGTTGTTGTGTACCTAACGCGTTCCTTAATGATAAGAAAAGAAGATTAGTTTTTCGTTTATTTTTGATGACTATTTAAACAATTAAGTCGACGACTTTTTTCTTTTCGGCCCACTCTATAATTTTATGCGTGTTCAGCGTATTACGAATGATTCGTCTTAGCATTGAAAAATAACATAATCTGTCAGTTATGACGACTGATGGATCCGGTTCTTTTTTAAGTTTAGAAACCTAAAGAAGAGAAAATCTTTTAATAACAATGTTCACCATAACTAAGTGAAATTGGATTAAGGTTAAATCCTTGTTTTAATTATTCACTGACATTTACTTGAAAAAACAAACAACCCTTTCGGCGATGTAAGTGAAGTGTAATCATTACAGACAAAAATCGCCAACACATTGCACTTTGAAAAATGGCAAATATGTTTTTGTGTTTCTGGATTTTTATATTCTCTCTGCCACTTGTAGTATTTTCACAATGTCGAGTAATGTATGAAGATTGGAGAGAAATATTCATGTGTTATTTCATTCAAGAAGCTACCTACAAAAATGCGTTTCGTTTCTGGCTAAGTAGATCTAAAGTCGCACCAAATGAACCTGTCGTCATTTAAAAGTTATGATATCTTATTTATCTACGAGATATATAGCTCCGCTTGTGTTTTAGAATCTGGTGGTGAACTTATTTGTAAATGACCTTCATTGTAACGTGATCTCAGTATGAAAATATGAGATATTGTTAATGAGATCACACCATTTTTCTTATGAACATACTGTTGTTTATTGTTTCTGATAAATCTGCCTCCAATTCGCCTTCTAGTTACCGTTTTTCTTTAAACAATATTTAAGGGAAATTCTATAAATCTACTATTGGTTCAGGTTAAAACTATGGAGTTTGTATAATAATCAGATTCAACAGGTGAATTCATCAGTATTTATCTAGTGAAACAGTCCTAAATTGTATCGCGTTGTACATATCCTCACTAGCGATTATAGTAACCTAAATACTTATTTTCACTTCTCACAAAAGCCTAAATAAAATAAATACCAAGTGTTTTTTTCACTATTTTTAGGAGTTATTTTCTGGATGTTGCACTGTCTTACATTTATTTGTATTGATTTATTTAAATTTTATCAGATACTTCTACTTGTATCATTTTGGATTTTATGCCTACCATTATCGTTTCAATGGGCAATTCAGTGGTGTCGCTCTTTGGGTTTCCTGGTTATTTATATTGCATTCAATGATTTATTTCTTCCATCACTACGAATTACCTAACCTGCTTAGTGATTGGGAATTCCGTGAATTCGTTTCTAATAATCAACTCGTAGGTCAAATTCAGCTACAAGTTTCTACACCATCATTATCTGTCCGGAATAGTCAGGATGCTTCCAGTTTAAACCGTCTTATCAACTCGCATGAACGAACAGAGTCGTTAGGTGACTTAACAACTACTGTTGGTGGTTCAAACAATTTCGAGTCAAATGAATTATCTAACAATATTTTCACGGTTACAAGTTCAGTACCTACTTTTAGTGAGATTTCTGGTGAAATCGAAGCTAATCAAAGTGATTTACTTTCTAATAATACTGCATTAGCTGATTCTCCCGTAAATCCTGCTAATTTAAACCACTTAGAATAATAATTTATGATCTATTAACATTTGTACTTTTGTTATTTTGTGTTTATTTATTGTAATATCCCATCCCTCTAGTTTTTTACATTTACGCTAGAAAATTGAGGTTTCTCACTACTTAGACCTTCAAACGGCTGGAAAAATAAAGTCATCTATTCTGGGCTTAGGTTATTTTCATTTATTGTTTATTAAAATGTTCCAGTTTTTACTGTTTATTTAGGCTCTGAAGATGTCAGGTGTGATCAGACTGAATAAATTTGAATTTTTTGAATTAATTCCACAGAATGTATATACACGGTATTGTTTGTTTGTATCTTCCCATTGTGTAGGACTGCAATTGATCAGTCTCCTGTTGACATGTAGGCATCCTGTGTGGACTGCCTCGATATTGTTTTAAGTCAAGCTTTTTAAGAAAAATGTGTGGCGGAATCCAGGACGCGTTTCGTTCCACTTGGGATTCGTCAGCTAAGTATATATATATATATGTATATATATATATATATATATATATATATATATATATATATATATATAACGGTCTATGAATAGTTCACGAAAGTTACCTATAATTTAATCTTCTGACGTAACACCCCTTTTTGAGGTATTAGGGATAATAAATGTAATAAGGATTTATTCTTATTCGACTAAGTTTTCGTGGGGTGCGTTGCAATCGCCTTGAAAGTGATATGCACTTTCTCATATCATTTGGGTCCTTTTTAGTTTCATTAATTAAATCAATAAATATCTTAATGGTGTATTTGGCTTTAAATTACTTTCAGTCTCTCACTCTTATCTGGTCGGCTATAGGTGCTTTGCGTTTGGCACTCATGTATTTTCCCCAAATTTCACTTCAGAAGGAACTTTTCCTTTTCTACGGATAATAGTTCCAATCTTCCAGGATGGCTATACTCCACGGCTGAGTTGTCATCAATATTTCTTCAGTAATATAAATTCACAATTTCAAATGACTACTAGTGTTGTCAGCTGAATGTTAAGTGTGCGCAAATGTCTTTGGATATTCCAAGTTTTCATCAGTTTAACCGTGCCTAATTTTTATGTCAATAAGATTTCATGGTTCGTCATGGTCATTGCAGCAAAATGCATCGTATGATTATTACCAGAACACTAACTAACTCGTACAAGTAGTACTTTGAGAGATCACTATCTGATTTTATATCTATAGATTTTTATTTATTTGAACACATAAATATTGGTACAGAGGGGCACTAAATATTTATGTGCCACACAAAATGATGAGAATGAGAAGATAAAAAGAAGGTAAGCTGTGTATAAGAAAAAAAACAATAACGACCAATGATTAGTGTATGGTGGTGTAATAATAATAATGAGGGAAACATAAGAAGTCCTGTAGAATGAGACTGGAACGATTAAACGGGAACAGTACACCAAGATTTCATAAGCAAATAATATTAACAACAAAGTATTTCATCATACGAAATAAAGGTCCGTACTAAACACGAATGAAAATTAAATAGGGCATCCTTAAAAAGTTCTGTGAACGACATTCACGTTTACACTGGCATTTCTGAATGGCAATTATTAACTTTAAACATATTAGACAGATGACGTAATGAGTTACTAATCTCTAGTCAACAATCTAATACGAAAGTGTCAAAATTACTTTCAGGAAAACACTAACACTGAATGATAAATTTTTACGATAAGTGAACGAACGTTGGATAATGAAAATATTTTTGCGTTAGTGGGCAGTCATAATGGGCAGGATGATATGAAAAGTTTGTAAGTAACTCATTTTGCTGCAGAACTTAATTTGAAGCTCTATTTTGTTAATATTAATTCTTTTGTTTTTTTCACATTGGAAATTCGTGAACTATGCGACCATAACGCTGTAAAAAATTACATTTTTGGTTCATTAATTTATGGAACTTTATTTTTGCAGTAATAAATTCAACCGCTTACACATGGAATTACTATATCCTCCGATTTGAGTTGACAACACGGACAACGCAGAAACAAAACTGCCCTCTAGTTTATCTTAGCCTCACTCATGGAATTATATACGAAGAAATTTACGTAACAAAAAAGAACGTAAATAAAGGGAAAAACAAAGAACAAGACACCAATAAGATAATTTCGAAACATGTTTTACTAAGTGGTTGGAGACTCTGGGTGACATGGCTCAGAATCGATCACAATGGCGTCGGTGTATACACTCTCTGTCTTCCTTTAAACTAAGAGATTAAAATCACTTCAAATCTTTCTTTCTAGGAACTAATTCTACCTTCCTGTACTATCTCCTTATACACACTCTTTCTTCTATATATTACCACCACTGAATTAACTACTCCTATGAATCCGGTGTTCATCTTGTTGTGCTAATGCGGTATGGCAACTTGGACCGATGCATATACGTGCCTGGTCCTATGTTGCAGCTGACTGACAGAAAGGTAATTACAAGTAACAAACAGAATAAAAACTTAATATTACGTCATTTTATCACCAGATGAAATTAACTGTTACTTTGTGATCTAAGCATCTTTATCAAAAATTCGAAAAGTATTAATTAAAAGTTTACTGAGTAACATTTAGTCAATTATGGACTTTGAAAAAGAAGGATTCCCTTCTCATTACCAGACGTTATACAGTTGAGTACTGATGTTAGTGGATGTTATTACTAACTAATTTTTATTTAACTTGAAAGGTGTACCAGAGAATAACATTAATCATGTACAGACTCCCTAATAGAACACTACTGGTCGAGTCAGAGTTTATGGTGAACTGTCATTGGAATTGGTTATTTTAAGTGGTGTTCGTCAAAGTTGTCCGTTCTCCCCACTTTTATTTAACTTTGTAATAGATATGTGTTTAGAGATAACACTTCCATCGTCTGACATTTTAGGGGTTGATAATCTGCCAGGAAATTCACTTGTTGACTCAAGATACGCAGGTGATATAGTTCTATTTGGTGAAGATGCTAACAAAATGCAGTCTTCTGACCACCTTAAGCAACAGTGCAAGCATGTTTGGGATGGGGTCCTCTCCCTCCGAATTTATAATGATACCTCCAGATTGACTTACGTTATCACCTAAATTGATGATAAGGAGTGAAGTAAATGAGATAGTCATCTCCCAACCAAAGGTTTTATTATTTATTTATTTATATGGACACGTAAATATTGCTACACCACAGTCTGATCGATGTTGCCGGGGCAGAAAACCAGTTGGACTACCCCTCGAAAAACTTTGACTGTCGTTCAAGACGTCGTTTGATGTTAGCGATCGGCATCCTCACAGATTGATTCACTCACACTAAACTTCTTGCTGCAAGTGGCTCGGATAAGTTGAAAGAGCCTCCGACAGTTACCAGATGCAGCTGCTGCTTCCAACTGCTTGGCACGCTCCAACCACCAGGCTTCTCGGTCCTTACGCAAGCTTTGCTCAATTTTATTACGTAACAGTCCTCGTTTGTGGTCAAACTCACGGTCACCCGAAGTAGACCGACGGGCTTCAATGATTTGTAAGAAATCAGAAGAAACCCAGTGCTTATAAGCCGGACGTATAGTGAAGCCGCAAGCGGCTTTACTCGTCAGTTTCATGGCATCGTGCAATTGCAACCAATACTCATCTATACTTTTCGGTGGAATGGTAGATAGCCTAGAACCTAGCTCGGTTTGATACTTAGTTGTAACAGAGGCTGCAATCAGTTTACTGACATCAATCCGTTTAGAACGATGAATTCGTTGGCCACTGAAATGTAAGGTAAGATTGGCACAAACAAGGGCATGATCATAGTCCAGATAGGTACTCCAAAAGGAGCGACACACTTGCACACAACCACGCCAACGGTAGCTGATCGCGATGTGATCAATCTGAGTCCAGGCTTGAGATGCAGAAGCAGGACGCCAGGTAGCAAGTCGGCGATGACCATGCCGGAAGTTGGTGCTAGCCACAAACAGGTTGTGGTCTGCACACAGTTGCAGTAGACAGTCCCCGTTATCTGTCCTGTGACCAACAAGTCCCCATCGGTCACCTAAACAACTCTCTTCTGTGCCTAGATGCCCGATCTGAGCATTCAAGTCTCCGGCTAGTACTACAATATCTGTCGAACGCACTTTCTGGAGAAGAACAGTTAACTGGTGGTAGAATTCATCCTTGATTGCATCCGGGCTGCAACATGTCGAAGCATAGGCGGAGATGACGAAAATACATCGTTTCTCACACCGACCTCTTACTTTGATGGAACTTTTTAATCAGACAGCACGTAACTGACTGTTATTGAGGATCTGATTGATTAGTGCTGCCTCGGCTCTAGCGCTTAGTGAGACACCAACGCCAGCAAGACCAGACGAAGATGCCACAGGGTCCCCGGATAAACTCACATAAAACAAGCTTTTTGAAGCGACAGATGGAGAGCGAACTTGTAGTACTTCACCAGAGTCTTGAATACGGGTTTCGGATAGACAACAGACGTCGATATTAAGACTTTCTAAAGACATAGCCAACCCTATCTGTTGTCCGACCTGCATAATTGTGCGAACTTTGAAGGCAGCCAGTTTGAATGGTGCACGTGGTTTTAGAAAAACTGCTTCAGTACTCGTATTCGGTGGTAACATACAATTTCCAACCAGGCAGTGACTCGAGATCGTTTATTAGATAGAACAGAGTTTCCACCATAGGCGAGTTGCTGAATAAGTTGAAAAATAAGGATACATAAAGCGGGAATAAAACAGTGGATAAGTGACGCAGTATATAAAAGAAAGCAAAATAAAAATGAATGTGAATTGTCTGTCGAGGCGAGAATAGAATTTCCAGTAATTTGTGGAACATAACCATTAAGAATAGAGGATATTCGTAGACCACTAGTATTCGATCACAGGTGTCTTCGAGGGAATCTGCTTGTATTTTGAGATCACCAAGTAAGCAATACTTGGATTGGAAACACGATACTAGGTAAGGATGGAGAGTTGATTGGTGAGATAGTAAATCTTAAACAGGCGGCTGGGATGTGTCACGTATGCACAACCACAGCCTACCTCGACGGGCTATTTTGTATGGTGTGAGAGTAGATTGGAGGAAAGCTAGGGACGGACAAATAAAAAACACAGCACCAATCCATGAAGACATCGATGATTAGACTGAGCCATTTTGTCTTCCCCCAAATTCTGAGCTTTTGAATCCCT